ATTCTTTCCATCTTCTTTTAATACTTCCTGGATCATTTAACATTCTGCCTAAAGCATCCTTGATTACAGCACTCAAGGTTTGAATTTGTTCTTCAGTTCCTTGAGCTTAAGAAATGCTGACTGAGTTCGGCCCTTCTGATTTTCCGACTCCAGCTCCTTGCACATTTCATTGTAATATTTTGCTTTGTCATCCCGTGCTGCCCTTTGGAATCTTCTGTTCAGCTCTTTAGTATCTTGAATTCTTCCTTGTGCTTTGGCTTCTATGCACTCCAGCGCAATATTCAGAGTTTCTTCTGACATCCATTTTGGTCTTTTCTTCCTCTTCTGTCTTTGTAATGACCGTTTGCACTCTTCCTGGATGATACGTCTGATATCCTCCCACAACTCATCTGGTCTTCGTTCATTGGTGTTCAAGGCCTCATACCTGTTCCTGAGACGGTTCTGAAATTTAGGTGGGATGAACTCAAAGTCATATTTTGGTTCCTGTGGATTCAGTTTAATTTTTCTCAGCTTCAGCTTGAACTTGCATATGAGTAGCTGGTGGTCTGTTCCACAATCAGCTCCTGGCCTTGTTTTCACAGCTGATATTGAGCTTCTCCAGCAGTTTTTTCTGCAAATATAATCGATCGGATTCCTATGCATACCATCAGGTGAGATCCATGTGTATCACCTGTGTTTATGTTTCTTATAAAACGTAACACACACATATGCATTACACATTAGGTTCAATTTGGGCAATTGATATTGAAGCATTGGACATAGAAAATCTTCCTAAAATAGATAAAAGAAAGACAGAAATGTTCAACTAATAACTCTACAAGGTAATTTTTATGGTATTATAAAACAGGAAACCACTAAAAACCAAAATTCTTCAATATATCCTTTCACAATTACTGCTAGTTTGCAGTTGACAGACACACATTAACACCCAAACAAGGGCGGATAAAATTCAGTAAGGCAAAAAAGAAGGATGATCCTGCTGTAAATGAAAATCAATTAATAAATATGTACAACCTTCCTACCTATTATTGGACCATGTGCTAAGCATTCTACTAGGAGCTTTTAAGTACAACTAAAAATGTATAATGGATGGATCTTAATCCCTAGGGTTAAAAAGATACATACAATGCAAAAATGACTTTTAAAAAAGGGGGGGGGGGAAAGAGGTAGATATGAAGCAAAGAAGACCTCAAAAATATAGGAATAAAAATCACTACAATACAAAGAAAATAATACATATAATACTAAATGCACATAAGAAACAAACAAAGAAAGAAAGATCTGGTGGCTTAGTGGGAAGAAGTTGCACAGCCACCCAAAGACAAGCAGCTTGAATTAACCAGTTGTTCCGGGAGAAAGATGAGCAAGTTCCTCCTGTGTGATTTACAGCCTCTGAAAATTCACCAGAGGGTCAGCTATGAGTTAGTTCCAACTTGAAGGCACACAACAATATGATGCAAAAAATTTTAAAAGAAAAAGATTGTACATATAATGCCTAATCATATATCCCTTTTAAACAGTTCTTAATTGAAAAGAGGACTTGGGGTGGAGAGAGGTAATTGTACAACAATTAATGAATATTTTTTTTTAAAGTCAACTGGGGGAGGTGTAAGGGAGAGAGAGGGGGTAAAATGTGTAACAGTGAATGAATGAATGAATGAATGAATGAAAATCTAACTTTTCTGGAAACTTTTGTTAAAATTACAATTAAAATTAAAAATATTGCTGGACTGTAATCCCAAAGGCACACAGTTCTAATTCACCAGATGTTCCACTGGAGAAGCAGAGGCAACCTCCTCTTATATCAGTCGGATCCAACTTGACAGTACACCATAAGAAAAAAAAATATTTTTAAAAAAAAGAGTAAGATTGGAGACATTGGCTAGAAAACCTTATCAATAAAGCACAAGTGACGCGGTGACCATGTTGATTACTATTGTAACAGTAAGAGGGGGAGAAGGAGAATCAATTCACATTTTAACAAAAGAACGATGATTTATTACAAACTGATCAACTGGGGGAAGTGCAGGTTATTCTAAATTGGGGAAAATGCTCACAACAGTGACAAAAGCAAGTAAATTGACAATAAAGCTTGGGACACAAATGTGTTTAAACTTATCAGTTATTTCCAAGAGGAACTGCCCTGCAGGCAATAAGATACAGAGGCGTGAGTCACTGTTCATGGTAGCAGGGGGAGCGCTCTGAAGACATTAGCAATGATGGAATAACTGATGTTCTTCAAAGAAGAGAAGAGCATAAGGGATCGAATTTTTACATAGCTAGTGGTCGCCTAGTGGCAAGAAGCTGTGAGGCAATCCTGAAGGTATATGGTTCAAGGCCACTAGCTGCTCCATGGGAAGATAGGCAATCTCTTCCCATGTG